AAAAAAAAAAGAAAAAAGAAATAGCAATATGGTGACTAGATAGGTGCTGGATAAATCTGTGCACAAAAGTGAAAAGATGTTAATTCATCCAAGTAACCAACAAAATACAACTCCCAAAATTAAGTGAGGTACTATTTTTAAATACACACAGTATTTTAGAACTTTTCTACATTGACTTTAAAAATAGTTGAATCTATTAATCAGCAGTGTTAACAGCATTTTCTTTTTTGGGAACAAAATCTGATTGGCAAATAAAATTAAGTAGGTAGATAGCAAATAATTATTAAATAAAGACTGTGTGCTACCTTACCAATTTTCAGACTGTTAGGAGGAGTAAGTAGTAATATATAAAATCACAGCATCTTTTGTCAATGATGTGAGCAGAACACCGCTTGCTCCCACCAGGTCAAGTAGTAATAAGTTATCATAAGAACAGTAGGAAAATCCAAGAGTGGGCATGGGTCCTGAGGGTTCCTGACACTTTTCAGGGGTCTGCAAGGTCAGAACGGTGTTCAGGCTTTTTCATGGTCTACCTCCACACAGATAATGCCACAGCACAGCGGAGTGCCTTCGAGGACTGCAGCGACAGCAACCTCGACTAATGACGCCGGTATTCCCCACCACCCACTTTCAGGGAGTTTAAGTCAGTAACCAGCTGTTACTGTTAATGAACTTCAAAAACAAAACAAAAAACACTGCCAGAGTCTGTTCACCTTGTAGCAAACCAACAGGGAAAATTAGAACTGCTCCCTAGGGTTTCCTAGACTTGAAAACTTTACAGGACAGGACAACATCATCTTTCTCCTGCACAGTTGGTGGGTTTGAACCACCAAGCTTGCGATTAGCAGCACATGCTTAATGCATGGGGAAATGTCAATTAGGTTTTAGGAAGAGTGGAAAACTAACAACCGTTTACCACCATGCCCATGCCGAGCTCTTGGGCTCCTTGGAGATCGGGAACACCCACTCCAAGTAATCCAAGAGTTAGCCTTTTGGTTTCCTATTCCAAACACAACCCAGCTCCCTGCCATCGAGTTGATGCTGACTCATAGTGACCCTACAGGAAAGTTTCCAAGCCTGTAACGATTCAATAGCGTAGGAAGCCCTATCTTTCTCTCATGGAGCACCTGATGGTTTCAACTGATGACTTTGCTGCTAGCGGCACAATGTGCTAACGCCTCGCCACCACGGAAGGGCTCCACGTTATTCCAGCATCTAGAAAACACCCAGTTCCAATATCTCCACTCGTCTCTCCAGAGGAGTACAAGCTGCTACTCAATCCTGTCCTTCCGATCCTTTCTAGAGCCATAGCCCTTGACACTTACTTTCCAACACCTCGTCATCTCTACACCATTTGTCATAAAACCCTTCAAAGCAAGCCGATGGTAGACATACTCTTTAAATGTAGGAGGTATCGCTGAATGCTAACAGCACGGATGTTGTTAACTACATTATTGTTTCGTAAAAAGAATGGTTCAGCAATAACGATCGAGTACCAGCCAGACTCCCACCTTGCCAGAAGGCTTTGGGTGCATTAAGAAGTTCAAGATGCGCTTCACCAGCTCACTGTTTACACCTGATCTTTCCAAATCCAGAACCTCGCAGATGCTCTTCAACATAGCATTTCTGAACCTAAAATGGAAAAGGGGAGAGACCACGGTGATTATTACGTAGGGCGATGTTTTCACGTTTCCTGGTCCATCAAATCCAGTCTGCTCAGTCACAGATCCACAAAAAGCAGCCAAGTTTCTTGGAATCTTCGAAGTAGTCCTAATCATTTTGACCGGTGCACTAAATCCAATTCAATCATTCCTGGCACACTGAAAACACCACTTAACAATTCAAAGCCGTAAAAAGAGTAATAAGCTAACCAGGTTAATTCACGAAAAACGATGCAACATTATACTTTTCAATTCTATTAAAATTCCCGTCTGATGATTAAACATTGTTCTCTTTAGCATTATATTTCAATCAAGGATAAGGTAATCCATCCGTAATACTTAAAGCTCTTAAACTACAGGGTCTTAATAAAGCAACACTCAAGAATCTCCCATCTAGCTTCATTATTGAAATGTATGTGTTTCCATCAAATTCATTACATTCACAAGGTTTACATGGTCCCTACAAAGAAAGACACAGAGTGTCTGAGGAGAGAACTGGACAACATTTTTCCTTATGTTGAATTATGAGCCAAATGAATGGTTTTCTGGAATTCTTTAATTATTCTGGAATCCTTCATTTCACTATCATTCATAGTGATAAGCACTCTAGCATGGAAACGAAGCCATTTCACATTAATAGTCAAGAAGACAAGCCAAGGTTTGGCATGTAAAGCGGAGTTAATCGACTGAAAATATACAAATGGTCAAATTTATAAGTTAAAAAAAAGATCAGTTTAAAGTACATTTTGATCAAAGCAGGTTATGTATAAAAATGAACTTACTTCTTCAACATTTCTTCCTTCTTTTTATATTGTGCACTTCCTTTTTCAAATGGAAAGCCACTGAACTGACCCACATTCTTCTTTAATGAAGATACCTGGAAATGTTTCTCTTATTATTAATACTCAGTAATGTACACAAGAGAAATTCAAAGCCAGTTGCTATCTCCAAAGTACATTTCATATTCCACCTTTTATTCTCAATGGAACAGAAGGTATTCATTACTAACATGCTAAAATTATAAAAGGTCTACACACTTGAAAAATCACAATTTAAATCTAATTTCCAGCTGAGAATTCTTATTGGTAATTATAAAACCACAACTATTTGTTATCTGACAGTATCAAGGGATATGGAAAGTTACTACTGAAGAGGCAGCCCTTTTCCTAAGTAATTTACTTTATTATTTTCCAAGTCAGGAATTAGATTTTATTCTTCCGAGATGTGAAAGAACAGAGAGCGCACCCCAAGAGCAGGTACCATTTTCTAGCAATGAGACTGGTATAAAAGTAGATTGATGCGCACAGAACATGATAATTAAGGTGAGAATAAATTATACCACCCTTCAGGCATTCTAAGTGCTAAACTTTACCTGGCCCAAGCAAAACCCAAAGCCGTTCCCTCAATCATATTTAAGTACACAGATAATAAAACATGTGTACAATAAAGAAACTGAGCAAATGAAACACTGATCTAATCAAACAAAGCCTTTAGCGAAGAATTGCTACATTACAGTATTAGGCATTTG